GATGATGATGAGAAATGGGTACTGATGTGGCAGGGTCCTCAACACCCCCAGGTCAGGGTGCAGTAGGTAGGTCACAGACAGAGCAGAGGCAGTAGGTCACAGACAACAAGGAAATAAGTGAGAAACTGGGTGTGTTCCCCTCAAAAATTCCAACAAACAATGCTACCACCCAAGAACTGAAATTGAGCAGAGGTAAGCCCATGGCAGTAATATGATATTTGCTCTGTGGCACTGGATTTCCTAGGGTTCTGCCAAATCAAACAACAACTTGAAACAAGATCCCTCTATCTTTTCACTCCTGTAATCTCCACTGATGTGAGAAATGTGCACAGAAAATCTTGCATTTATAGACACAACARTATTTTCCTGCCAGTGCCCCTTACACTGATGAATAAAGTACTGAGTGGAAGAGATGATTAGTTTGCACAACCATAATGGCAAACCAGCAGCTGAGAAATTGTGTCAGAATAAGAATATTCAGTGTAAAGTGACACTCGTAACAATGTCAAAACCACTGATACTTTGCAGTGCATCAAAACATCAACAGGCAATCCTTCCAGAGCCTGGAAGGCATTAGAAAATATATTAGTAGGAAAAAAACCCCAGAAACTATTATCATATGGAGAATTGGGGTTGTTCAGCCTGGAGATGGATTCAGGGAATTCTTCGAGTGCCTCTCAGTACCTAAAGGGGCTACAAGAGAGATGGAGAAGGACTTTTTACAAGYGTGTGTAACAACAAGACAAGGGATAATGGCTTTAMAGTGACAGACAGCAGGCTTAGRTCAGACATTGGGAAGAAATTCTTGGCTGTGAGGGTGCTGAGGCCCTGGCACAGGGTGCCAGAGAAGCTGTGGCTGCCCCATCCCTGGAACAGTCCAAGRCCAGGYTGGACGGGGCTTGAAGGGACCTGGTCTGGTGGAAAATGTCCCTGCCATGGAACRGGGTGGAACAGGATGGGCTTTAAGGTCCCTTTGAACCTCAAACCATTCCACGGTKTTATAACACATGGCTTGCATTTGAGCTCATTGTTTCTTATTTGCTATGACATGACTTCTCTATCAGGTTCCTCTCTCAGCCAAGTCAGGAAGATGAATTTCAAATAGCTGCTAATGCACACAATCTGGTGAGAACTCTATTGAAAAAATATTAAATCTTAAAAGTATAATCCTGACTTAGTCTGAAAAACATTTGTAAAGCCCCCTGGTCTGTTTGGGTTTTTTCAATTCACATCACAAGCCCCATTAAGCAGGCATGTGTTGTGGAACGCACAGCTTGCCTACAGAGTTAAGAGACTCCACTATTTGCTTTTTTGTGACAGAGGTTTTGACTGCTGCTGCACTGGGATGCATTAGGGTAATTCAATGAATCACTTCAGTTTACCCAGCATGCAGTTTTAAGTAATACAGCAAATAACACACCAAGTTAGTTTTTGATAGGTATTAATTAACTGGAGGCAGCGTATGTATTTACTTCCCTTATTTTGAAAAGATAGATGTTTTATAGCACCTACAACATTTGACTTCTGGTGAGGTGTTTTCTTACCTTTATTTTTTTACCAAGACGTTCCTTCCACTTCTCAGCTATGGAGCCTTCCACYAGGAGTAACCTGTGTAAAGGAAACAGCCAGTTACTCCATCAACAGGCTGTACAATCCAACATACACAACAGTAAGATCTCCGTGCCTGCAGAGATCCTTGCCCTTCCCATGAAGGAAATGTACACCAAGTTTTCCTTCCTTTTGYCTCTGACATTCAGCTTTATGACAGGGGAACAAAAAATAACAAATGCAGAGTTACCTGGAGCGCTCCTCGTCCTCGTAGCCCATAATGATGTACTCTTCATTGGCACTGAGTGGTGGGCACAGGCAGCCAGAATTCGTGTGAAGGTTTACAGTGTCCTTCGGAATGTTCACTAGGGAAGACTTCAGGATCTCCTTTACTTCCACTACTGCAGTGACATCATGACATTTAGTCTTCACCTCCTTCACTTTAGCCCGAATGACTGCGAAAACGTCACAGAGAGCATTGTTAGAAGCAGCAGATAATGCAGGTCACCCCTAAGCTGTTCTTGGTGACCTCTGGGATTTGTCTTTTGCATGGTGCTTTATCAGAAACTTATCTGAACTCCTGCAATGTCTCTGCCCCCATCTCTTCCCTTCATTACTTCACCCTCCACCAAGGAGGCCCAGGCATCTCAGTGTGTCTCAATAGCATGGACAGGAGCAAGCATTATGTACCAGATGGATTCTGGAGCAAGCATTATGTACCAGATGGATTCTGGAGCAAGCATGATGTACCAGATGGATTCTACACTGTGTTTCAGTTGGGCTTTGACTCCTTCCTTCCTTCCCTCCTTCCCTCCTTCCCTCCCTCCCTCCCTCCCTTTTCTCCCTCCATTCTCTCTCTTCTTCACCCTTTCCACATTAAATTTATTAAATCTATTTCCTGTAAGCTTTCCTTCTCCCTCAAGCTGTGACTGTTCCCTCTTTGCCTACCTGCACTCCAGATGAGCAAAYTTTCCCTGTCACTCTGAACCTTTCACAAAAAGTGATTGTGCATTAAAATTTCTCATATCACCACTTCTGCTGGATGACAGGCCCGTACCTTTTTTATTTTCTCCAGTGACCCAGCACCAATCTGCTCTGCTCTKTATGAACTTCAAATGCTCCTGATCCTGACCCAATGACCTCTCTAATTGTTTCCTCTCCTGCCCTTTCTTTTTGCCTTAAGTTGCACAGGAGGAAAAGTTGCCTTTCACAGGCAAAGCTTTTCATTCTCCCACAGTGACCAGTCAACTGATACCCCATGCAAACACAAAGCCAACCCAGGTCATGCTCTAGAAAATGCCACATCATTCACAGCCTGCAAACAAGAGTCCCTTTCCATTACGAATAGCAGATACCCCAAATTCTAGATGTCTCCTATCTGTAAAAGGTAATATAGAAGAAAGAAAATTATGGACTTACCATTCCCTCACTTCACCTGCATTGCCCATAACAACCATTAACCAGTTTGTATTGCAGGCACATTAAACACAGCTGCCAACAAACACTAACTTGTGCATTTAGTGTGCACAATTTACCCCTTTCTCTAAACTCTTTGAGATCTCAAAATAAAACATTGCTTTATTTTGGAGATATTTCWAATGCATTTTGAAACCTCTTTCATTTCAAAAGCTTGAGAAAATAGGCAGGGGCATGATCAGTGACTCTGCCATATGCAAGTACAGATTAGATAACAGTCACTCCAATTTTTTTATAAACAAATCCACCAAAACAGCATAAAACTGACCAGTGACCTAACAAGTGTTTGAATACAGTTATAATTTTTTAGCTTTTAACAGCAACTGTTTTTAGAAGAAGCTTGTCAGACTCTCGTTTTGTAGATGCCTCAATCTAATAAATATTATATAATCACTATAATTTAAATAAAGCCATTAAGTTCACTGAACCTAAGGCTCTTCACTTGGTTAAAAGGAAAAAGCAAGGGCCCAATAATTCAGTTCCTGTGATATGTAYTCAGTGATTTCATTGGCCTAATTTGCTTGAAACAAACAGTATGAAGAAAAATATTAGCCTGGACTTGTGATATGCCTGAAGAYCAGGACGTGTGCATTTTTTACAGGTGTTACTGACAGCATAACACAAGATGCTCATTGCTGGCTTTGATACACCAGAAGGAAAAGAACCTCTTAGATCTCATGGTGARCTAGAGGGCATGAAAGCTACCAAAAACATCTCCTTCTGCAAAAGCTGAGGATATTGGAAATCACACAGGCAGCTCAGGCACAGCAGCCCACAATGCCATTTTTGTCACGTTTTTATCACTATTCACACCAGAGAAGTGCATGAACCCCAAAWGCCTGCTCTAACACTGAAATAACAAAGACACTATTGTACTAACATATTAAGCTAATCCCCTCCATCCTTCTAATTTGGAAATGTTTCAGACTATACCTTCCTCCTGTAATAAGCAACACTGAGTTACCATCAGTGAATTTTTAAGGCTTTTTTAATGAAAATTTTCACCTTCCTGAAGCCTTAAAATAGTTGGGAGCTGGCCATGAAGCTGTTCTTACCATAGTTATAGTTGTTGCGTAGATAGGTCTTCTGGGTGGCTTTTACAGGCTTGCACTTGCAGCGGTCTAGAGAAACAGAAAGCTTTGTTTAGAAAGAAAAGAGCATGTATTCAGTCACAATCTTCCTAAAACCTTGAGCTCACACCTAATAAAAATTTCACTGAATTGACCTGCTTATTACAGTGAAATACTAAAAACCACAGGGCATTCCTGGCCTGTAATTCTGGGTGGTGTGGAACTGTGCATGAAGACCTTAAAAGTTTCTAGGAGATACATGACATACTGAAATTATAAAGAAAACAAACCCAAACCACAACACAACAATAATGACACAGAGACTTAGAGACTGAAGTGACAAAATCATCATTTTAAGCCAATTMAAGGTTCAATCCTGGTCACATCTGTGCTTGCAGGTACTTTAATTCCATCCTGGCGATGCCGTTCTCTCTTCTGTACTGAAGGAATAAAGCCCTCCTTTCTGTTCCTTTTATCATAGAGACCATAATAGAGACACAGAAAGAAAATACTATGGCAGCACATGATTTAACATTTTTTTTTGAATACTATGTGTCTCAAGTTAGTTCAGCAAACTGGGATATTCTTGCYAGCAGGCATTCATAGACAGCTGGCATTGGAAGGGACCTTTAAAGACCAACCCCCTTACAAAAAAAACAGAGAGATCTTCAACTAGATCAGGTTGCTGAGAGGCCCAACAAATTCACCATTAGGAATTGTGTAAATTTCACACAATTTTATTATGACCCATAAGTCCACATTTAATTAAAACAGAGGAATTCTTAGCCCTTGTGGCCATAAGGAAAGCCTTCAAAAAACAACACAAATGAGCACTGTCAGAGCAGCATTTCCAAYGGTGCAGATGCCAGACAGCTGGGAACTCTAACAGAGGTAAAAACATATTCATGAGTGCCCAGGGAGTGCTAACGCTGATGTTCCAGACCCTCCTGTTCATTAGCACCACTGGCATTTCACGGCTGGTTGTTCTAATGTAAATATTGACTTATTTTATATTAGTGCCTAAGTGTCATTTGGTGGAGTAATTTCAAACAGCAGATCCCAGTATTACATATGCACCGCCATCTATTTTGACATTTGATTTGGCATAAATGGAAGTAGATTTAATGCAGCTTATTTTTATRCACCTCATTCTAAATATCAATGCATGAAAGCCAGTGATTTAGTTAAATCTGACATGAAGAGTCTGAAAAAGAACTTTTATTTGCTATATAAGATCCCTGCATATTTTAAAAAAGAGATGGAATCGTAGAGTTACAGTTAACTTCACAAATCATTATTTTAAGCATTTTTGTAGTTGAAAATACAAAAAAAAACCCAAAAAAAAAAGAAAGGAAAACATTTCACAAGAAAAGTGTATTATTTCCTTGAATTTCAAACACAACCTCAGGAATCTATCTATAGAGTCCTACTTTAGCTTCTCTATGAGTTTGTGTTAAAATAACAAAGGCAGAGAAAGGAAGTGATTTTTGGCTTCTTTTCTGCCTCTGGGAGCTCATGGACACTGTTGGCCAAATTAYGGCTCCTTTTATAAGCTGCCTTGAGACAGAGCACACTCACACAGGCACCTCAGCACTCAAATCCAACAAATTGTGCACTATAACATTCTCCTGCTCTACAGTACTTTGCACTGTGTCCCTGTAGAACAAAATAGACTGAATTGCAAGGCAAGAACACAGTCTTGCATTTCCTTCTGCTTTAAGACAGTATTGGCTTGATTCAATAATTTCAGAATATATTTTATTAGTCCAGTTCTAAAAACAAATTACAGACCTGCCCATGTTCTTATTGAAGAACTTCCTAGTCACTGTCATGCTTTTAAATTTACATTTAAAAGAACTTTACAAAATGCTGCATTACTCCTAATTACTATTTAGAGATACAGAAACTAACACGGAAATCATTTGCCAAAGTCAGTTATAAAGTTAGAGCCAGGACCAATTCCTCTCTCCCAAATCCAGGCACAGTGATTTGCAAAGGAAGCTAAACTTTGACCTTACCCAGGGAGTGGGAACTCCCACAAAAGGCAGCTATAAAAATGTACTCCAGTGCCTGAAATGAGGGAAAATCCCATCCTAGCTGAGAGCCTCCTCAGAAGCTGTCAAAATTACCAGAAGAGYTCTGGGACCACAATGTTATGTCCAAGCACAGAGACAGGCAGCAGAAGCTGCCACTACTTTTGACTGAGGTCACAGCTAAATTTTCTTTTCAAGTCAATATAGGATTAACAACTGCTCAAAATCTCAGTCTTTGAAAACTTCACTCTGTAAATGCCAAAAGTCCTGGACTACACAGGAAAATGTTTTCCCCATGGRTTGCTACCAAGAAACATGCGTGTCATCTTAAATATATCTTCATGCACAATTGAAAAACTGGCTGTAATATTGATCAAGCACTCAAACCTGGCAAATGCTTTCCTGATACACAAAGGATAAAAAAACCCTCTTGGAAATTTTCTAAGAATTTGAGGAGCATGTGATGAAGCAGACAACAATGTAGTTCACAGAAGGTTTTGCCAGCAGACACTGCCAGGAAAAAAAGGTGTCTGAAATAGGGATAACCCCGCTCCCTGTGACCATGCACAGCAGCACAAGTGTTAAGCTGCAGAAAGAACAGAGCTAAGAATGGGATTTAAAAAAAAAATACATCAGTTWGCTACTTTCAAAACAAACAAAAAGTCTCTATTTACAATAGCCAAAATACAAATTTACAGAACATATAAATAATTTTGAAACATGGCCTTTTAGGTGGTCCAACTGTGTTTGTTCAAACAGGTGTAGCACATTGATCCAGAAATGATGTATGTATTATAAAAGGCAGTGATATCAGATATTGCACCAGCATTTTTTCTGTGCATCCTTRCCCTCTTTTCTGGATGGGATTTTTTTAGGTCAGGTTTTGCTTTCAGTCATGGAAAAGCATCACAACAGTAACAATACAACTGAAACTTTCCTCTTCCACTGCAGGGTCACTCACTTTTAGTTGAAACTATAAGCTTTCTACATGCCTATGGACATATCTTAATAAAGATATGCTTCATAGTTTGGTATTATAAATTTGGCATTATTAAAACCTTTTTGCAATTTGGTCACAGAGTTTAATGCTGAAATTATATGTGTCTAATGTTATGTTCCACAACCACACTTAGGTGTTTATATTAATTAAATGAGCATCAGTGCATGCTGTAGCTCATCAAMACCACTGCAGAAGGAAAGACATGGTGGCCAATGCTGGGCTTCCAAGTATCAATTTCTTGACAAAGACCTAAGAGGAAAATTTCAGACGGAATCGTAATAAAATTCAAGGAAATCTWCAGTCACTGGCTTCTTGCCTGTGCAAAAAATTCACATTTCTATAATTGTTAGCTACCACCCCGGGCTTTGCTTCTTTGCATTGGCAAGTAGTGGGAACACTAAATGAGTTTTTTTCAGTTTTTTTTTCTGTTCCAGCAAAAGCAAAACAGAAATAAAAAGCAACAGGAGACCTGCTGGAATAAAACCAATCTCAGAAGGTCTCACTCTCAACCTCCTCAGGCTAATGGGAGTGTTGTCATTATGTACAAAAAGTACTGAATTTCATTTGCAAACTTTAAGGTCAGAATGAACTATTATCTTGGTTTTACGCCAGGAAAAATCAATTTAATAATTACTCTTACTGTTCAAAACAAAACTTTTAATCAAATCAGCACAGGCCTCTTGCTTTGGTGCACATTTTGAGGCTGACCAGCCCTAAATCCCACCTGCCCAAGGAAGGCAAAAGCACACAATCTACAGTATTCTTAGTCAATACAAAGTATTTAAGTATTTGGTCAAATATTTCAAGGATTTGAAAGTCTACAGTTTATTATACTGCTCTATAAAAATGTACTTACCAATGCCGGTGCCTCTGCAGTTGCCATTATTAGAATCCATAGGGAAATCTGGCATGGATTTGTAAAATATGTAAAGGAATGTTAGTATTTTTAATATTGGATTATTTCACTACACATACATTACAATGTTTTCTCTTTCTCTAATATTTAGTACATGGAAACTTAATAATTTCATTAATAAACAGTTTTTCATGTTCTAGAGGTCAGTCCAATAAAGTTGACACAATTTCTTACCCAATTTTCACCCGAATCCAGCATATCATGTTAAATGCTGAAGCAGACTAAATATCCCACCTCCATTGGTACAGACTGGCAGGTTTCAGACAAGAATTGACATTTATGTCATGAATTTTGGTCACCTACAAAAAGTACATGTAGTATTTGCATTTCATTAGATGATGAAGGAGRAATTACTTTTGGTTTGTTTTTTTGGTTACTGAGGAAATCAAATCAACCAACCATAATCATACTGTTGAAGTAAATGCCAAAATAAATGTTTAGACCTTCCCCTCAGTTTAAAAACACATTACTTTGAAGGGCAGATAAGAACAGAAATTTTAAAAGGCACTATGCCCAAAGAACTGTTTTTAAACACTTTCATAAGTGGAGTGCATCCCACATCAATAAAATGCATGGTTTCAAATCTATTTATTAAATCACACAATTTAATGGGTTTACACACATACTTAATCATGAAAAACAAATATGCTAATTCACATATCCYTGAATGAGCTAAGGACAAAATAAATGCAAGAGCAACAAGAACTGGGAGAGAGGCAGGATACTTTACTAGAATGGCACAAAAAATGGAAAAGCAAAGGAGCTTCAAAAAAAAAGCTCCTCTGTAATTTTGCATGCTGTGCCATCTATTCTGGTCTTCCAGTTCTGGACTCTGGTACCCTACAATCACCTTAGAACCTGACATAATCATGAGGCAACACCACTGCTTTTACAACGTAGGACAAATGTGACAAAAGCTCCTCTCTCACAGCCTGAGCTGTAGGGATTTGACTGAAAAACAGCCCAGGACACTGATGATACTCAGAATTCATGAAGACTTTACATGTGGGGATTAAATTGTAAGGTCTGGGATTATTATTTACTCACAAATTCTGTAAATACATTCTCTAAAACACCTGTTTACAAGAAAAATAATATTACTTAGCTAACATTCTAATTTTGCCACTTTCTTAAAAAAATAAACATCTCCACCTTAATGAATACTTATACTACTCATAGCAACATGAAACTTCTTTTACATAAATGAAGATGTAGCTAAATCAGTCAGGCAAGAGTAAAACTGAAAAACAACTAATTCCCTCACACAACAATTAACTTTAAAAAATTTGAGACTTTGGGAATAATGATTCTAACCAACACAAAGAGCAATGGGTATAGAAAATAGCCTAGAAAGATTGAATAGGTGCTCTTTTATATTCAATATCCCGATGCTAATAAAAAAATCACATCCATTTTCTTGCAAATAAAGTTCCAAACTCCCACAGGATCTGAGTTTATAGAAAAAACCCTAAAATTTCTATGGAGGCAACCTGGTCTGTGCTTCTCAGATACTTCCACAGTACCTCTGAATTTTCACMGTGCTGCCTCGTAACAAGTCAAACCATCCAAGCTGATTCTTACTGGTTTGACTTTGATTATTCACAGTCATTATTCATAACCTGAGTTATTCTCAATGCATTAAGAAGGCATTTTATATTGCATCAAATGCGTTCCAGTATTGCAGGATGTGATGAAAGAGGAATTATAATGCCTTYCCCCTTGCAAATGGTAAGCAAAAGGATAACCACACTGCTTCTCATTCTTCCTCTCCTGGGCCAATTATCTACTGTCTTGTTCATTAAACCAAGCTGCAGCTTTAAATCTACAATTCTTTCTGATGTGGTAAAAGCAGGTAYTTCAGGGATAGTTTGTTCATACCTTCCAAGCACATTCCCTATTCCAACAAAATTCTTATCACAGGCAGGTTTTTTCTTCATCACAGAGAAGACAAGAGAAGTGTCAGATTAAATGTGCTACACCCAGGAAAGGAAAAGGAAGCCCTGAAATGCACTGCTCCTACCTAAACCAAGGACAAACCAAAGCAGGCATGACTTCATGGTGCTCAAACAAACCAAGTCCAATTCACATTGAAATTACAACTCAAAATAACCCAGAGCCCCATAAAGGATTCACAGCCTTCCCTGGCCCACATGATCGTCAGTATTGCTTGAGGAACATTCCTGTGAGCTCACACCATCATGGGGAGGACTGGAGAATGCATATTAGCAGGATAGCCAAAGAGGGGAATATTATCCAGAGGTCCAATACAAAAGTTTCCCATTAATTTTTTTTTTTTAGAAGCAGGGGACAAAAATCCAAACTGATTTTTTCCAATAAGCCATCTTAATTAATTGCTTTTCAGAGGGATTCTATATTTAAAAAAAAAAACCAAAAAACCAAAACTAGGCACTAACTTTYATTTTAACTAAATAAAAGCCACTTACACAGTAACTGTACCAAATAACAATGCCCACATCACAGATTTGGATGAGARGATTGGAAAAGAGAAACAACTTGGTAGTACCTACTTTTGTGCCAACATCTTTCTTATATCACTGTTTAAATAAATAAAAGGCAGAGAAAGGAYAAAAGTAATGTGATCCTGATTGTCATTATGATTAAAGAATATGGTCCAGCTGTTATTATTGCCACTCCARGCAAACTGCTCCAAAGAACCAAACCATAGTGAGTGGCTGCTCCCTGTGCACCTTCTTCAGATGGAGACAACTGTGAGCCCCATAATTTAGGAATCCCTTCCACGATGCATGAATTCATTGTCATTTACTGCAGCTCTTAGTAAAGCAAGGATSTTTGCTAAATTGCCTGCAAATCATGCACAGAAAAGCCAAGCAATACAAAAATTGATTCTAGTTAACATTAAATACAAAGAACTCGAACTTCAAGTTGTAGAGCAACTGGCAACAGTGGCAACATGCCTGCTCCACTAACAAACTATTCCTCACAACCAATCCCACCAGGTTTTGATGACATTTAATRGCCCAGATACTGACTCAATGCTCARATTGTAAAAGCCAGGGGACCCAGCCTACAAAGGCACACAAACTGKAGCAAGCACCTAACACCATCAGTGGTACTTTCATTAATAATGTTTAAATCTCTCATTTACCTCCCCTGCTCTCTCTCAGGCTTGAAGATTCTAATAATCTTCTAATAATAGTTAAAAACTGAGAAATGAGGCAGCTCCCAAATTTTGAGCAAAGAGCTAAATAAATTTCAACTTCATAAATGATACCCTGTTCTCAGCACGGTCTGTAACATTCCCCCAGCACTGTCATGCACATCAACTGCTCTAAGCAGAGCCAGGCAAAGACTGAGTCAGAAAAAAATAGAGCTTCAAAACCACTGTTTTGGAAATTAAATTATTAATAWATAAGAAACMAGCATGGGAAAYGGCTTGTTCACTTGTCTTTTAAGCYGACAATGYSMAATTAAAATACTGGGWTACTATGAACTCATCCAGACAGACATGGAGGATTTGGGTGACATGGAGAAATCATGGGTTCACATATGATTTCAGAAAATGGGTGTCCATCATGTGAATAATCTGTAATTTTCTTTAATGTTTAAGAGATGGCAGTTTTTTAAAAAAAATTCAAAGTTCTCCTCACACATCTTATGATAGTTTGTGTTAACTACACATGGTTGGATACCTTGTGATGTTGCTTCCCTGTTCTCCAACATCTTATTAACAGGCCAACAAACCTTCAAGCTAYTTTTTATCAAAAGAAACGGTGAGGCAACCTGCCAGACAGATCTGCCTTCCAAAATGCACAGCACCTATCACACTGCTCAGATTTTGCTGCTAGCTCCCCCTTCAAAACACGAACAAACATGTCACTTGAGACATAAACATTCTGCTAGATGTTAGCTGCCAAGAACACAWGTCAAAGACCTTTTTTTAGTCAGCATCCCAATGCCAACATTGGTCACTTTTTATGGGTAAAAATTCTAGATTCCAGACAGTTTTGTCTCTCAGCAGTTCCAGCTGTTTCACACACATGAGAAGGTTTGACAGGGCCCTGCACRAGGGMAGCAGATAATCTGATAGACTGGAGGAAGAACAAGCATATGCACATGAAGACTGAAATATCTGGAGCAAGGGAACAGGCCCTCTCACAGATACAAGACAGCTTGAACTAAAGTCTGCAAGCAGAACCACTTTCATCTCCAAAAAGCACAGGACAGGGATGTGGGATAAATGCCACAGGAGACYTCAGACATCAGCATGCACTAATCTGACATCTGGGGTGTTAATGTATCATCAGGATGCTCTTTCTTCCTCCATCCTGGATGATGATTTGTGGGATCCTCCACGAAAAGCCAAAATATTCAGCATCGTACCTGCCCCCAAAACACCCACACCATGCTGCAGCATCCCTCTGCTTTCTGGAAAAGGAACCTGGGCGCTTCCCAAAAGAGAATGACAAATCAAGAAAGGCACACTTCCCACATGAYACTTGCTTTAAGGTGGTGTCTGTAACCTGAGGAACTTAAGCCCTCCAAATCAGCCGTCCCACTCAGGTTTTGGAGACCAGCACMAGGCTGGGGGTGTGCACAGCTATTCCTCTACCTGAGCCCAAAACACAGCACTGCTGTCAGCTTTCTCCACCACAGACAGCAGCAGCCTCACCATGCCAGCAGCCCCTTGGTCCCAGGAGTGATGTGTCCAGACCTTTCTCACCACCTGGGCTCACATGGAAAGAGGTCCCAGAAGAAGTCTTTGGTGGACGGTGCCTCAACAGCTGAAAGTGAACTTCTTACTGGGATTTATCAAGATTTTACCAACCACGGTTCCTCCGTATTTTGCAACAGCCATAGGCTTCTGGGATGCAGGGAATACAACTGGCCTGAGAAACCAGTCCCTGCTCCAACAAGGACAAACACCTGACTACATCATCCTTAAGTCTGCTCCCCTGTGGGAAGGACTACACAAGTGTACTACTGTTGACCAGCAATGCAGAAAGCTCATAAAGAAAGGAAACAGCAGAACCCTGTTACAAGTAGCAAAAGAATGAAAGCAAAAACAAGATTTCACTTCTGAAGAATAAAAAAGCCCCTTCTACAACAGAAAGCCATGCATGCCCTACTACATGTACTTTACAGACAGCAGAAGAGGCTAAAATGCTTAGGAGATAAATGAAAGCAAATAAGAGCAGGTATTCTGCACACTCCTCAYCAGGCAATTGGTTATTTGTGTCTTCTACTTGGCTGCAATCCTTTATTTGGAGAATTGAAATTCACCTTACCTCTTCCTAGAACAGGAATCCTTCCCTCTGCCTTCTAAAAGAACAGTTTTATTCCCTCAAGAAGGATTCTTTCAGTCTGGTGCATAATGCATCAGTTCAAAATATTCAGCCCAGAAATGAGAATGTCATCAGGTTCTCATTCACTGAAAGAGAGTTTTCATRGATCTGGCCCTGGAATCCCTCAAAGAGGTTATTGTACTGCTGAGGTCCTCAGAAATAGGTAACTCGGGGGCAATTTCAGCCAAGCTTCCTCCCTCCAGATTTGAATGTGATTGCTTTCAAATCGCTGCAGACCTGCCAAACTTTGCTCATGTTGGAGCCATTTTTAAGGTGGTTTTGAAAGCACCTCAACGATGCAGAGAAAAGTGCTTGGTGCTCAAAACTACATCTGCCTGAAACAACTCCAGCAGGTCTGCAGCCCTCAGAGGGCAGCAGCTGGTGGCAAAAATAGATGGCTGTGTTCATGGGCTGGGGGAAAAAGTATGAAAAGGCAAGAGGGAAGTAGTTAGAGAGAAATAGCAGTAATGACAGGAGATAGCAGGGTATGGAGGTTTCAAGAGGTGCAGAGGGTAAGGGAATGGAGTCAGAGAAAGAGTAGGGTTTGTCTGGCCTGTAAATAAATGGAGGTGAAGAGAGCAGCTTACCTGGGAAGGCTGAGCTGGGGAGCACGGTCAGGAAACYGAAGCATATTTTGTTAGGAGAAGAAAACAGGAATTACAGTGTTTGGCATTAYTGGCAGTGGGATACATAAAGCATTTGGTAGCGGGGCAGAAGCACAAACACTGTGCTGAGCACAGCACAAAAAATACCCCTTTCATTCCCAGGCCATTGCTTGGGGAGGACGGAGAGGTGAGATCTCACAACAGAGCACTGAAGCTGTGGGGGCTGAAGGAGCCAGGCAGCAGCACAAGCTCGTGGGTTGCACGGGTGCCTCTCTGCTCTGACCCTTTGGGGCTGCTGTCCCACCCCAGCACTGATGTCCCACTCCTCCAAAGGGAGAGGTGTGGCACAGCCACCACACTGCAACTTTGCCTCAAGGGAAACGGCAGCCTGCTTCCACCAGCAGCAAATGCTTTCCTGAAAGGTGCAGCARCTGCAGTCACCTTGTAAAAGGTCAGAGCTCACTCGTGATTACTACTCACTGGCCTGCTTTAATCTCCTGTTCAATAGAGCCCTGTATTCAGTATTTCTGCGATGTTCAGCTCACCACGCTGGAGCAGTGTCCTGCCAGCTCCTCAGCACAAAGGCAGCTGTGACAGGAGCAGGATCCCTGAGCCACAGCAGSTTTGGTGGCCTGAGTGTGCTGAGAYGCTCCTGCCTCTKATGRTCCTGCYGGATGGCAGCTGGACACCCAGCACCAGCCATCCTGTGGGCCCACAGGGAGCTCAGCTGGCCAAACTGGGTGCACTGAGAAAGGTGAGGAGCTCCAGCAGCCTCTCTGAGGCCACAATGGCCAGACACCATCAGGGCTGCACAGGAGCTGACTCAGGTGCAGGAGACAGCATTGGGCTCGCTCAGGGGATATTGGGAACAAAACACAATGGAAAGCTGCACTTTGCCAAGCTCCTCACCCAGCCATAAATCTAGAGCCCAGGGAGCCCCTGGAGAGCCTGTGCTGTAACCTGTACCTTCGGTGCTCTCCACTGAGATGAGCAGGTTTGCTCCCCTTCAGGCGTGCAGGTGCCACCACTGGCATAGGAGGTGCCTGGGGGAGACCTCGACCCCAAAACTCCTGCTTGGGGCTCCCCTGGGCACAGCTCTTTCCCCAAACTCTGTGGAAGGGGTGCCTTATGCGGGCGGGGAGCACCCTGCTTTGGGAGGGAGCGGCCGGAGATGATCAGAAAGGCACAGGGGAGCCGGCAGCTTCTATGGGGGCTGCCCCTCTCTTGGGTGGCTCTCGCTTCTCTGCCAGCGACCGCTGCCGACGGATCCCCGAGGAGCGGTACGGAAAAGYTTCCCGTTCCTGTGGAACCAGGGCTGTCGCTCCCACCCTCGCACGCGWTCCCCAGCGCGGTGGCGGGGCTGTCACTTGTCACACACACTCTGCGCCCAACAGCAAAACTTTCCMAGCGGCGACGCGGCTGCTAAAGGCAGAGAAAAGAGAGCGAAAGAGCGGAGGGCAAAGCAAAGAGAATCAGAGAGCAGTCGGAGGGGAGGCAGGGCACCCGGGTCGGCTGAGCTGGGCTGTGCTGGGCTGAGCTGGGCTGAGCTGAGCTGTGCTGGGCTGAGCTGGGCTGAGCTGGGCTGTGCTGGGCTGAGCTGGGCTGAGCTGGGCTGTGCTGCGCTGTGCTGGGCTGGGCTGAGCTGGGCTGTGCTGGGCTGAGCTGGGCTGTGCTGAGCTGGGCTGAGCTGAGCTGAGCTGGGCTGTGCTGAGCTGAGCTGAGCTGAGCTGAGCTGAGCTGAGCTGAGCTGCCCTCCCCGCCCGCCGCTATTGTCCCCATGCCGATGCGGTCCCCGCGCACTCACCCGCGCCCTCGGCGGTGACGATGGCCTCGGGGGAGATGCACACCCCGCGGTCGTAGACCGGCAGCTCGTCGCAGGCCAGGCTGTCGGGCCAGGCGTGGCTGTAGCGCACCAGGACGGGCTCGCAGCCGGCGCGGGCGCGCTCGCACACGGACTTGCAGGGCTTGATGGGTTCGTGCTGGAAGTCGATGGTGCAGATGGGCGCGTACATGGCGCACAGGAAGAACAGAAGGTCGGGGCTGCAGTTGGTGCCCAGCAGCCCCTCGAACTGCTCCATGGCCAGCACGGCGTTGGCCTGCGTGCTGTGGTGCAGGTGGTTCGGCATCTTGGTCATGTTCCAGGGCAGCGGCTTGCAGAGCGGGATGCGCACCGGCTCGCAGGCCGCCCCTCGGCCCGGCGGAGCCCGGCCCAGCAGCAGCAGCCCGGCCAGGGCCAGCACCGGCAGCCCCCGCCACATGCCGCCCGGCCCGACGGTAAGCGAGGGGCCGAGCGGGCACAGCGCGGAGCGGCAGCGGCTCCGCCCGCCCCGGCCCGGGGTCCCGCCTCTCCGCCCCGCAGCCCGGCCCCGAACAAAGGAGAGCCCCGGGCAGGAGGGAGGGCTCTGCTTTCTGGGAAGAGCCACGGCGAAATTTGCCTCTTCCTCGCCGGAAGGCAGGAGGGCGCTTAAATTCTCCCCGAAGTAAAAACCTTTTTGTGAACGTGAGCACGATTTCAGACCAATCTCTCGGAGATAACATTCATATATTTTTTTAGGAAAGACTTTTTTTTTTTTTTTTTTCAGACACTATCCAATGCTTGTGCAGGAGGTGCACACAAAAAGCACATCGCCTAGAAATAGCGAAGGGTGACCAGTTTTAAAGGACAGAAATACTGTTGAGAGGCTTAAAAATGAGGGAGATTCGGCTGAGCAGCTGGGGATGCTTTCTTTGCAGAAGATTAAAAAAAAATTTAAAGAGGTCAGATACTGTTTAGGATACCTTGCAAAGCAGTGTCACAATTAAGGGAGTTCTGATTTAATCTGAAAAAGAGTACCTTGATATAATCATAGAATCACAGAATAGTTTGAGTTTGAAGGGACCTTAAAGATCATCCAGCTCCAACCCCCTGCCATGAACCGGGATACCTTCCACTAGRCCAGGYTGCACAGAGAAAAYGAGCTGATGTTTATTASCTGAATAAATTCTTTCCAGTTATAAAGGGACTGAGCAACTGCTCGATCACRCATTTATTATTCCAGTTTCTGCTCCTAAATCAAACCCGCAGGTACAAACACACCACAAGCTGGTGCTCAGAAACCAGTCCAAAAAATGTGAACAGGCTGTGAAAGCAACCATRGATACAGACTCAGAAACATAGAGTCCCAAGCCTGGAAAAGCTTTTTTKCAGTTTTTATGACTGCAGATGAAATATTGGTCCCTTTAACTCAGTTGCTAATGTCCTGTTGGCTCCAGCAAAGACATGTGCTAAGAAAAGGAGTTGCAATATGGCCAGTGGAGCAGAGTACCTTTTATTTGCCCACTTCCACAGGCAGGTGCAAATTTCAAGGACCAAAGTCTCATTCCCTGCACTCCCAGAAGAAAAGTTGGTTCTCAAAGGTAGGCCGAAATGTTCACACACATGTGCATGTAACAGCCTTGGGAACAATCAGTCAGGCTGCCCATGACCCTGAGCCCAAATTCAGAATTGCAGAATAGCCATGAAGAGAGGAAAAGGGAAGCTTGCTCATTTGCAGGGGGAATTAGAGACAGGACTGTTTTTACTCATCCTCTCAGCTCTTCAGATTCAGTCACAGCAAAGCCTCAGGCTTGAGTTTTTCCTTGCAATGTGAAAAAACATGTTAAAAAAATATGTGGTGTAATAAAAACCTTTCCCAGCTGGTTGGGAACTGAATACACTGGGACCTGCCCTGACAGTGGGAGTGAGAACAGCACATCCCTGAGAATCCGAGTCCAGCAAGATGGGCCAGGAAAATGCAAAATCAGCATTGGCATGCATGATACTTTGGCATACTTTTCTACTTCAACATGAAATTCTCCCATGTCTGTACTTTATTTCTGGGAACGTTTTATTTCAGATTGATAATCGATAATTACACGCAGTTTTAGAAACATTTCCTGTGCTTTGCCAGGAAAAGCATTGATAATGCTGAATATTCCTATGCCTGCAATAAGTTTAAGCTTTTAGCCCCAAGTCTATATGATGTGCATGAGAGTACCTTCATTTAAACAGTAAAATTTCTGAGAATTCTTTCAGAACAGCAAATGCTGACATCTCCCCGAGCCCACAAATACCAAAGCACATGGCTGTGCAATGTGGCTTCACATGTTCCAATACTGCAGTGAAGTTACCTCCYGTGCATTCAGCTGGCAGAGCTCTGCTGGCAATCTGGGGCAGCCTGGGAGAGGATCAGCTGCAGACAGAATTGGGCAACTACTGGCCCACGGGACTGTCTGCATTCATTACCTCTTCATGCTTCCAGTATAAATCACTTGATTCGAGGTGGTAAAAATTCACCTCTGGCTGGAACTAGGMGATCTGATTACTGACCCAAAACATTGCTGTTTTAACCAAACATTTACACTTCAGTGTCTGCCARGTTATTTTCTGTGGCCAGTCTTGACACCATTTTAAACAGATGAGGAGCCTGTGAAGAGCAGGGCTGTGGTTTCATGCTATCAAAATTCAGCCACAGTGCTTTGCCTTGCAGGTGGAGTTCCACTAGCAGGAAAATAAAATGGCTGGGGRAAAAGAGCAAACTACCAACCCACTCTCTGTCTTCAAGTGCAATTACTGCACAACACARAAACTGCTAAGTGGAACTACAATAGGTGTACATACTTAAAATGGTGACTAGGGAGTTTGTGTGTTAGCTGAGACARCATGTGCTGTGATATCTGAAATTTTCCACCAGTCTCAAAATACAAAGTARCTTTTACTCTGGGTGCTACCACAATGCCATTCAGGAACTTTACTCCCTTCTCTCCCACCACTTTCTTAAGATTTATGAAGAAAACAAAATCTCTTTCTTTCTACAGCATCCATCAGCAGGGCAGTGCTAAAACTCTGGGGGTGGGTGGTGACAACAATCAAATTCCTTGTCTTGGACAACTCCAAAAGGGCTTAGTCAAACTGTGGCATCATCATTTTGTCAGCTTGATGTCATRCATGACCAGCGAGAATTTCTTAATAAAAGCATGCCCAAGCAGCAGACTGAGATCAGCACTGCATGCCTGTGACTTTCCTGGTAGACTTTGTGGGGTTGGTACAGACTTATAAATTTAAAGAATAATAATACAGACCATAGYATCACACAAAGTCATTTCCTAGAATAAACAAGAGCTCAGTGGGGTTGAGGCCTGAGGAAGGGATTTTCCTCTGGAATAGCTCATACAAAAATTACAGAAAAAGGGTATTTATTATCATTATCATTCCCCCCAAGAAACACAGTAACCCACAACAGTGCATAGTGCCTGGGGTCCAACTCACTCATCCACAACACCATTTTAAAAAACCAACTTRGTTGCCTTGGAGTGCCACAAGGATGGATTTCAGCAGGAGGTGGCAGGATAACACTGACAGCCCTGGGGATGGTCAGCCAATTTTATTTGGGCATACACAAACAGAGCAGAATGAGGAGGGCTGTGGAGAAGATGAATAGGGATTGTGGGCTTTGTTGTTGCACCCTTCCCCAAAAGGAAACTAAGTAAGGAACTGCTTCCAGATGCCTGGCATTAATTTATTTTTTTTGTTATTTCCTCCTTTCCATAGTGTCTGTTCCTCTCCCTGGCTCCAGTCTTGTTTTTCAATTGTGGGAGGCAATATTCAGATATTCAGATAAACAGCAAAAGGCTTAAGAAGCAAGAGCTGGTTTTCTGAGATGCTTTGAAAAGCTTCACTATCTGAACTGTCCATTAGGAAAATTTCATGGCTCAAAATACAGACATACACTTATTTCAAATTTAAGCTGGAACAACTATGTTGCGGAATTGAAATATAGAAATACGACCTTACTAAATAATAAAATGGCAATGTGAAGAATTTGCAACAGTAAAAAATACAAAAAGGTGTGGCCAGGAGGAACATGTTGCAGTCAAGGCAGTCTGAAGTGTATTTGTTAGCATTAGTTCTATCCTGAAGTGTTACAGTCTCCCTTTAGAGACAAGAAACTTCCCCACACACACACCCCAGAGGCTTACCTCTATAAAAGCAGGGGATGCTTATAGACCAGAGGAGGCACAGAGAGGATGAAAGCCCAGCTCAAACCAGATCTCACCTACTCTGGCCTGGGGCAGAGTTCAGCAGATCAACAAAYCTGTATTTACGTTTCTAAGAGAAGAGGTACTAACTACATACCGTGGATGCATTTAATCCCATAGGCTACAAGTGGCTGAGAAATGAGTGTGCATCTAAAACAAACTGCTATTGACAGGACAAGATGGAATAGCTTCAAACTGAAAGAGAGCAGGTTTAGACTGATACTAGAAGAAATCCTTGGCTGTGAGGGAGTGAGGCCCTGGCAGAGGTTGCCCAGAGCAGCTGTGGCTGCCCCATCCCTGGAAGTGTCCAGGGCCAGTGTGGATGGGGCTTGGAACAACCTGGGATAGTGGAAGGTGTCCCTGCCTCATAGGAGGGAGGGTGGAATGAGATAATATTTAAAGTCCCTACCAACCCAACCCTTTCATGATTCTGAGGAAAAAATGCAGAACAAGTGTTCTAACAACTACCTTGAAGATGCAGGGGCCCGTGCACATTTGTATTTTAGATAAAATAAACCATAAACCTCATCAGCCCTGGAGGGAACAGCCTGTGTTAGTTGTAAGCTCCAGGTGACTCTATATATTAGGTCATCTCTCCACTTTKGCATGTTCTGCCAGACCCTTCGGATCAGTGACCTGTGGCAGTGTTCAGGGAAGATTCAAGCTCACTCTGTGCTTGGGGGGCTTCCCAACATCCSCCAAGGGCCCAGTGGGCTGCTGTTTATAAACCAGGACTGTTCTTTATGTCTGGTCCTGCCCATTCCAACTGAAAAAATGTGCAGGTGTGACCATATCTATTCAGGATGTTCCCAAGAATAAAACTAGCTGGAAAAAACACTTCTTTAGAACAGGTTTTTGTTCTCCTGAATTTTTCTTTGGCAACCTTAGGATTACATGTGATTTAATTTGCTTAYATACACTGCCTTAGAAAAACAAACACAAAACCACAAACCAAAAACAACCGAGCAACTCACTGAACACTAAACCCTAAAAATACTTCTTACATGCCTGTTACTAAAACCATAAAATCATCGACTTACAGAGTCATAAAAATGGGATTTATTGTATATTTCCTGTTTCAGCTAGGGTCTTGTTACAGCTCCTTCAGGTAGATAAAACACAGGGGACTATTAACCTATTTTAATAATCTTTCAGGCTTCTCCATGGATGGCATGGAAGTAGTGAAGAAGAARAGGTTCTATTAATTCAGTCTTTCAGACTGCAATATTTGGGGCTGGTTTTATTAGG